AAGTCAATAAAAAATAGACGAGATAGGTTGGTAGGACAACTTCTCAGACATGAAGGTCTAGTCAGAGACATATTAGAGGCAGAAGCAGGAATTAGAAGGGGTAGAGGTAGACCTAGGTTAGATTACTGTTCGCAAATAGTTAAGGATGTGGGTTGTTCTAGTTTTAGGGAAATTCGAAGTTTAGCTCAGGATAGGAAAGAGTGGAGGTACGTGTCCAATCAGTCTTAGAACTGACGACCTTATGATGATGATGAACAGTACCATGTGGCATATCAAATGAAAGGGCTTTTTGTAAGAGTGTCAAATATATTTTTTTATAATTTTAAAATAGTTTTAAAGTTGTTTAAGAAAATAGACGAAAATTGACCATTCCCGCACCCTTGTCTCCGAAACTACTGAACCTAAAATTTTGAAAAAAATACAGAAAATAGTTGTTTACTTATAGATTACAGGAAAATTAATAAGAAGTCTATGGTCTGAACATAGTGTGGTAAATCATTGTATGGGAGAACACTTTTTTTTTCAACTACAATGTTCAGTTGGTTCTCGGGTTAGGTTTGTGAATCGGATTAGATGCCTGAACTTTCATCGATCGTAGTGATTTGATCTTTCATGTTTCCTTTCACAAAAAAAATTGATTCCCAATCGACCAAGGAAGTGAAGTGTTCACGGACAGAAACAGGTTGCATTTTCGCATCGCATTTACGAATGTTCGGCTAGAACACGAACGGTCATCTTCTAGTGAATGTCTCTTAATTTTCAAACCTCGAAAACCACTCAAATTTACACGAACGAGGCATAGCTTTTTCCCCTTAGGCAATTTTGTACATTTCGTAAATTTCTGGGACACTTTTGCCTAATTTAAAACAAGTTGTATTACGTGATGGTTCCATAAGATCTTTATGTCTTTTTTTTTAACTTGCAGTTCTATATATATGACCCTTAAAATACCCGAAATTGACTTGTTTTCCGTTTAGATAAAGTACCTGTTGCTAGGTAACATAAACAAAATATCGTTTAAAATTTACTGCTTTTATGGCCCGTTAATATAGTAAAATTACGTAAGAGTAAAATATAAAATCGTTTTATGTCCTTTACCGAAGCTTCACACCACTCTCCGTTAGGGGTTGTTATTAATTATTTACACGTCTTTCCATACGTAGTAGACATTGATAAAAAGATTAATACAACTTGAAACATGATTTAATTTACTGTTCTAGATAAGGCCAGAAGCTTCTAACATACATGTAGATTTCACAGTATTAAAAATTCGATTTTTTAGAACATTTGAATGTGAAACCTTAAATATCAGTTTGCTTTTGCCTATCAATTTCAAATCGGTTTACCTTTTTTAATTCAAATTATATTTAAGTGTCTATTTGAATTCTGCAGCGTCTTCAATTGAGTAGATTAAGAACTGTCTTATTTCGTAATAACATATTTTATTTGTAATTAAACTAACAGTTATTTTATGAAATCCTGATAACAATTTTAAAAACACATTCATCATCGGATATCTCGCGTACATGGGGATCCTAATTTTTTCTTAGTTTTCTTGTACGAATCTTAATTTGAAAGGAAATTAATAAAAAAAGTGATATTTTCTTTCTATCTTAAAGCTCTAAGCTTTTTACTAAATTTTTAACTGGAGTGAGATTTTTACCTGCGATTGTGCAATGCGGATGGCTCTTCGGCTACTCGAATAGCTGGACACGTTATTTTCCAACGATTTGTCGTTTATGCCGACGGAATCTAAAATCTTTTCAGACCTGTCCAAAAGGCGCCTCGAATTCAAATTGTTTACAGTACTTTCCATATCGACGTCGTCTACCATCGATGTTCTTTTGTTAGCCCGCAGGCTTTTAATTCTTGAAGAAACCTGAAAATAAATTAAGATTTAGTTAACTCATATAAGATAGACAATTTAGGCAAGCAAATTAAGCATTACCTCTTAACTACTTACAAACAATTAATTAATACATTTAATAAAATATTAAATGCAGTAGCATCTAACTAAACAATGGGGTTTATATATCAGGGCTAACAATTTACGGATAAGGGCGAGAAGTTATTGACTCTTCTGATAGTTTCGTTCGCGATATTACTATATATACTTAACACCAGCGCAAGTAACTCCTGCGGTCTTAGACAGGGGCTGCCTTAGTCATTGCCAGACTTCGGACGAGTAGATCTTTACGGGGTCCTTGTCTTTGTGAAATTACTTTTAATGACGATTCTTATTGAGAAATGCAAAGCCATTAATAATAAATTTAGAGTTTTAAAATTGTTTATTAGAAATTAACAAGCATTAATAAATAGAGTCCGACCGAAAGTTCGGTTTCAGTTTCGGTTTCGGTCGGGTTTCGGCAAAAAAACGAGTTTCAGTTTAGTTTCGGTTTCGGCGGCAAACCTGCCGAAACTACGACCGAAACCGAAACTGCGTTCGGGAGCTCTCGCGTTCTGCTCGGTCATGTTCGGCGCGTTAAATTCCATCCAAGCGAAGTAGATTAGTAGACCTAGACATAAAAAAGCATGAATAATCTTCAAAAGAAAAATGAGTCTAGTCCACTATACTTACCCAAATAAACATCTCACCTATTTTAAGGCGCAATTAAAGTATTTCCTTAAATGAGGGGTTGTTATGTTGATTTTGATTTGATTATCAATATTAATTCTTCATCTGTTTTAATTTTAATGTTTGAAGAATGCTTTTATTTGATTGCATAAGATCGTATATCTGCGTCAGGAAAAGACAACACAAACGACATAACAACTTGTGCTAGTGTTAAGTATATTTAGTAATATTGGAAAGGAGGTTCATGTTCTATAACGAAAGTATTTGCTTATTGTAGCCGATTTACGATACGGCATATAGTATAAGTGATAGGCACCAAACCATTTTAATAAAAACATTGAATTCTTGATACGAAAGTACATCGCATTTCTTAACTTATTATATATAGATTACGTCCCTATTCCATAAGTAGTTTCGGTTACAGTTTCCGAATCCCGGGACCAAAAAGGTATTCGACTTTCGTATCAAATTTCAAGTCCCGATACTAGTCCTGAAAATCCAGAAACTAAGGTGATAACGAAATAAAACGAAAGTAAATTCGAAAAAACACGAACCCCCTTTCCTAGTGTAACCTACCATTATTCCGTGGGGGTAGGGTGGGTTTTATTACTTATTTTATTATTTTTTTATTAGCAACACATTTGAGTACAAGTCAGCACAACTTTTTTTTATTTTTTTCATAAAATGCGGAGTTATGTAACTCTGGCTAGTATAAAAAAACAACGTGAACATAAAGTTTTGTAGATTGCCAATTACGAAATGACATTCATTCCCAGTGTTTACACAGTTTTATCAAGAAACTTTTTTACGCAGCTACTTCATATTCATTAGTATCGGCTCTGCATTTTTATAACAGGAATTTTAGCGACTTGAGATCTAAAAAAGGCCTGCGTTTCACGCTCGAGTTTTCCAAAGTTTGAAGAGATTTCAAGTAACAAAATGTAATTCAGTAAACTTTATTAGTACCATAATTAAAATCCCTTCCTCTTTACACTCGCTCTTTTTTTTCCGGTTGTCAATGCTGTGAAAATTAAATATAGAACTTTTAGAAAATTCATTATCGCTTGTACAAGTCGTATTCATTTTCTGAGAGCTTATTAGTTGTTAGTTATTACATTACTCAGTATTAGTAGAGAAGTTTGTGATTAAACTAAAAGTTCTTTCTCAGACTGTACGGGAAATTTCACATACAATATATCGTAGTACGTACTTGGGTCTAGGGTTTCCAGCCCCGAAATTGTCCCAAAATTTTACCCACAAAATTTGGTCCCGCGATCTGTTATTCCCAGATCCTAAACAGTTCCAGTATTTTTAGTGGGTACCAAAATTTTGAAACTTGTCCACCTTTCATTATATATACCTAAATACTATGCATGTCGGTAGTGCATAGAACTTGAATCTATTCCCTATGTGCAACCAATCAAAAATTTAATAGAGAATGTATGCAACCAACTCTACCTGCTGATAGAGATATTTAGACCCGTCTAGTTTATTTTCAACTGGTATACGTCAAAATTGGTCATTTTTAATTAAGTATTTTGAATAAATAACATATTTTACATATTCAAACATTCTAATCGTCATTTAACTCCAGAATTTTGTGCTATATATAAATTAATTTTGAACATGGGGTTATTTATTAAAAAAAAAAGTTTTGCTAAGTATACCATGTGGCATATCAAATGAAAGGGCTTGTTCTAAGGGTGTCAAATATGTTTTTTATAATTTTAAAGTTAGTTAAGAAAATTGACCATTTCCCAACCCTTATTTCCGAAACTACTAAACCTAAAATTTTGAAAAACATACAGAAAATAGTTGTTTACTTATAGATTATAGGAAAATTAATAAGAAGTCTATGGTCTGAACATAACGTGGTAAATCATTGTATGGAAGAACACTTTTTTTTCAACTACAATGTTCAGTTGATTCTCGGGTTAGGTTTGTGAATCGGATTAGATGCCTGAACTTTCATCGATCGTAGTGATTTGATCTTTCATGTTCCCTTTTACAAAAAATTTGATTCCCAATCGACCATGGAAGTGAAATCTTCACGGACAGAAACTCGTTGCATTTTCGCATCGCATTTTCGAATGTTCGGCTAGAACACGAACGGTCATCTTCTAGTGAATGTCTCTTAATTTTCAAACCTCGCAACCACTCAAATGTACACGAACGAGGCATAGCGTTCTCCCCTTAGGCAATTTTGTCATTTAACTCCAGAATTTTGTGCTATACTAATCTATCCTGATTTTGCGGTAATTTTTCGCGCGTTTTCTTTTGCAAATATCGTTCGAACCGCTTCGTATAATCTGATTAAATTCAGCAAAATCTTAGTACTTTAAAGAGCAAATAGATCGCCTTTCTTTATTGTACATGTATACATTATTGTCGTTGAAGGAAATCCCAAAGCGGTGGACCTCTTACGGCCTAAAGCCGGTTCTGATTCGATTCGAATGTGTTACTTAAAATAAAATTTGAAGTGTTGTTTATAGCGTTCTATGAAATAGCGCATCGTTTCCGAACAGTGTGACACCACCACCCTCAAGGACATACATAATTCCTAGATAACTTAACCTTCTTTTGGCCGTTTTTATAGACAATATCCTCGTGACAACGACCGTGACGTAATAATTACTCCTGGTTCTGTGTGCCAATGTTCAAAGTTAATTATCTTTATACATATGCGTGTGCGTAAATATTCTATGGTCGCTAGACGAATTAGCGATTGCGTAAAAATAAAACCAGCGATGATTTTTGCGAATATTTCGCGAACGTGCATTACCAACCTATTTTAGCGCGTTAGTTTATGCAACGTGCCGCATAACTTCATCAACTGTTAAAGAAACAAACAATGTTTATTGCTAGAGGTATAATTATGTTACGAAAATGCTAGGGAAACCGAGACTCTATTTTCAGAATACGTGATTCGTTTGTCACACATTAACGTATGTAAGTATTATACGTATAAATATTCAGTATTTGTAGCACTTAATTAAATAACGTAGAAATTTAGAATATACTCGTACTTAAAAATGTAAGGTTGAGTTACAGAGATATAAGAGTGATACTTAGTTTGTATAAAGAGCAACAGGCAGTTATAAAGACATTAAACACAGTACAACTGTAAGGATAGATATACAGGGGCAGAACATTAGTATGCTTAGATTTGCAGATAATAGGACCTAGAGATAGCTTTAAATAAAATGGAAGCGATACTGACTAAACAGTATTGTATGAAAATAAATAAAAGTAAAACAAAAATACTGGTATGCAAAAAGAGAAAGAGTAGGGAAAGAGCTAATATAAAGATAGGAGACGAAAAATTAGAAGAAGTGGCTGATTTTAGATATCTAGGAAGCCAGATAAGTCAGGACGGAAGGAGTAGTAGGGATATAAAGCGGAGGATAGCGCAGAGTCGTGTCACCTTTAATAAAAAGAAGTCATTTTTGTGCTTGCGAACGGTTAATTTAGAAATTCGAAAAAGGTTGTTAAAGGTGTATGTTTGGAGCGCGATGCTGTACGGGTGCGAAACATAGACAGTGGACGCGGCGGAAAAGAAAGGCGGTGTTACAGACGAATGATGAGGATACCGTGGACAGAGAAGGTTAGAAATGAAGAGGTATTAGAAAGAATAGGAGAACAGAGGACTCTATGGGAGTTAGTAAGAAATAGGCGAGATAGGCTGGTAGGACATCTTGAAGGTCTAGTCAGAGACATATTAGAGGCATAAATAGAAGTTAAGAGGAGTAGAGGTAAACCTAGATTAGATTACTGTTCGCAAATAGTTAAGAATGTGAGTTATTCTAGTTTTAGGGAAATGCGAAAATTAGCTCAGAATAGGGAAGAGTGGAGATGCGTGTCCAACCAGTCAACTTGGTATCAGTTAATGTAACATATCGTTCGATATCAATGAATCACTTTTTCATTTAGTCTAGCTATAACCTCGTATATGTAAAGATACTGCTTTTTATTAATTTTCGTGAACCTATCTACTACATAGGTATCTATTTTAAATTTTATATTGCGGTTGTAATTGTAAGTCCGATTCATACTATCTATCAATTCACTGTCCAATCACCATTTGTTCAAACTATCATTGGAGAGAAATACTAGGGGTAATTGACTGTATCCTGACCTGACCGTTTCTTATAGCATAATACCATGTGGAATGCATACTCCAGCAGTTTACCTGTCTTGACGATGACTTGTACGAATCGGGCTCTATTTTACCTTTTTTTAAGCATAACTGGTTCACCGACATGCATCCCTCTGTAACGGCCGTTTTTCTTGGAATATAGGCATTA